CAAGTTTAGGTGAATTCTGATGTTTCACAGAAAGGCTACCATTCCACATTACTCCATCCAATGAGAGAAAGAGATGGATGTTGTGGACTGTGTTCCTACTTCATGTGTGGGTGTCAGGTTAGTCAGTAAGAACATTGTCCTTTAAGGATGTGTATTGTGTTTTGTTAAGCCACACTTTTCCCCCTGGATGGCCTCAGGGATGACCATTGTTTTAATAACCACCAGGCTGATATACTTTTCAGCTAACATCTCTTAAGAAACATGAGTAATATCAATGAAAGGACATTGGTAAGTGCAGATTTTGAATAGCAAGACCAACTAACCTGACATAAAAGACATGTTGAAAAACCCTCAAACAAGAAAATGTTTTTCATTAAAAATTTTAAAAAAATTAATTTTCCAAGGAGCACATGAAACATTCTACACATATCCCTGATATTATGCCATAAAACAATAGTCAACATAATATGTCAAGTTACAGCTAATTCCACAGAAATATGAAGAGTTTTTAGATAATTCTATGACTATATGCCCATACATTGGACAATCTAGGAGAAATAGAAAAGTTCCTAGAAGAGTACGCATCCAAGACTGACCCAGAAAAAGCAGAAAATCTGAACCAGCAATGAAATTGAATTTGCAATAAAAATATTCCCAAGAGAAAAAATTCCAAAACCAGACAGCTTCACAGTGGATTTCTACCAAATATTTAAAGAAAACACAATACTGAGCTTTTTAAAAGTATTGCAAAATGTAAAAGAGATGGGAATATCTTCCAAACTAATTGTATGAGGGCAGCATTATTACAAAAAACAAATTAAAGACACTACAAAAATAAAATAATAAACCAATATCCCTGATGAACATAGACACAAAAATCCTCAATATAATATTAGTAAACATATTCAAATATATATCAGAAGTTTCATCCATGACCAAGTCAGATTAATTACAAAGATGAAAGGATGCTGCACTATTCATAAATCAGTCAATGTGATCACCTTGATAGATGCTAAAAAAGCATTTGAAAAAACTCAACATCAATACATGATTAAAAACTACCAACAAAATGGTTATAGAGGGAACTAACCTCAAAATAATAAATGCCATATGCAACAGACCCAAAGCTAACATCACATTAAATAGTGAAAACATGAAAGATTTTCCTCTAAGATCAGGAATAAGACAAGGATTTCCACTCTCACCACTTTAATTCAACGAAGTATTGGAAGTCCTAGCCAAGGTAATCAGAAAATGATGAAGACATAAAAGACATCAAAACTTGTATGGATGAAGTGAAACTGTCACTATTTGCAGATGAAGTGCTACTACGTATAGAATACCCTAAAATCTCCACCAAAACATTTTAGAAAAATAACTGGATTCAACAAAGTTGGAGGACATAAAATTAATAAACAGAAATCTGTTGCATTACTGTATTCTAACAATGAAATAGCAGAAAGTGAACTCAGGAAAACAATTCCATTTACAACTGCATCATCCAAGAGAATAAAAATCCTGCAAATAAACCTAATCAAGGAGCTAAAAGACATCTACTTTAAAAATTCTAAGACACTTATGAGTGAAATTACAGAAGACAAATATCAATGGAAATCTATCCCATGCTAATGGATAGGAGGAGTTATTATTGTCAAAATGCCCATTGTCTTCAATGTAATGTACAACTTCCATACAATAAATATCAAAATATCGATGATATTTTTCAAAGAATTGGTGCAAATAACCATAAAATCCATATGAAACCACAAAAGACTCCAATAGTCAAAGCATTCCTGAGAAAGAAGAACAAAGCTGAGGGTATGTTTCCTGATTTCAAGCTATATAACAAAGCTACAGTACACAAAACAGTATGGTACTCATGTAGGAATAGACCCAGAGATCAATGGAAGAGACTGGAGCACAAATAATCTTTGGTAAATTAATATATAATACAGTAGCCATGAAAATACCATGAGGGATAGTCTCTTCAATAACTTTTGTTGTGAAAACTAGACAGCTACATACAACACAATGAAACTGTATTACTGTCTAACTCCAAACATAAAAATAAGCTCAAAATCACTTAAAGTACTAAGTGATGACATTGATCCACAAAGCTCTTCAAAGAAAATATAAGCAAAACTTCTTGAACATATGCAGGGTCAATTTTTTTTCTGGACACTTCGCAGGTAAGAGAAACAAAATATAAAAAGGAAAAAGTGCGACTACATCTAACTAAAAGCTTCAGTACACCAAAGGGCACCATCAACAGAACAAAAAGACAAGCTACACTATGGGAAAATATATTCATAGATGAGTTCTCCTATAAGGGGTAAACATTCAAAATATACATAGAAATCCTGTGCTTCAACTGCAACAAAACAAATAACCAGATTAAAAAATGGTTGGAAGGCCCTAACAGACCTTCTCTTAAAAGAAGAAATACAAATGGCCAACAGGCACTTAAAGAGATGCTCCTCCTCATTAATCATCATGGTTCTGCAAATCAAAATGACATGAGATATCAGCATCACTTTGACTGAGTTTCCTGGCGTTTGTGACTCTAAGAGTTGTGCAAACTGAGTGCGAAACTGAGTCTCCAGCAATTAGTCAATTGCAGTTCAGGTTTTCCTACCCATTCCTGTGCTGATTCCAATGGTGGTTTTCATTTGAGAGTCTATATTTAGTTAAGGCGTGGCTTTCAGTATGAGCCTGCTTGTAACTTCAGTTTTCTGGAGAACTAATATGTACCATGGTGACTATAAGTAAACACTAATATACTCTGCACTCGAGATTTTCTTAGAAGGAAGATCCTGATTTCCAATGACACACAAAAAATGGTAATTATGTGAGATAATGGGTATGTTAATTTTCATAATTGAGGTAATTACTTCATAATGTGCAAGTATGTAAAAAAATTAATTATTGCATTAATACATCAACTAAAACATATGGGAAAACTAATATTTTTAATATCTGTGAGATAATTGCCACATGTTTATTCAATTAGGACATCTAATTCACTAATAATCTGAAAAATACAACTGACAAAAATAACACATAACTTAATTAACATAAAATAGCAACATTTAGAAAGCTAGGTTTGACCATATTTTAGCATAGTTGTGGAAAAAGTGCCATGCTGGTGAATTGCTGATGGGAGTTTAAATATGTGAAATTTTTTTTCTGAAAACAGAAATATTTTATATGCTTAGGATTGTAACTACTTAGATATTCATGGACTATGGAATAAATGGGTAAAATGTGGTGAGTGGTAAGAGATTCAATGTAATTAGTACAAGTTTGTATATTTAGTTTTAAGTTCAAAAGCTTTCACTGACCCACTTGATTTAAACAAAAACCAACAACTGATATTACATTACAACCATATATAATAGAATTAATGAAATGTATAAACACAGATAGAGGCATTCAGTATGAATTAAGCCTTCAGTACTGATTGCATTTGACCGAAAAATGTTTTTGGCCACTGCCCACTGAGGCCTGAATGACAGCTGGCATAATTTGTTCAACAAAAGAATAATATTACAGTAGACCAAAATTATCTAATATCTAGGCATCTTTGAATTTGTAAATACTTTTTCTCCTGAACATACAACCCCCATCATTTCTGGCACAAAACTATTCAACCACACACAAAATTAAACATTATGAAACAGTAATAATTGCATAAGCAGTTCTGAATGGTACTGAGAACAAAATATATTTCCCTGTGATTCATACATTTTGTGCCCAAGTCTGTTTTCTTGTCCAATCTGCATTGTCACTAGCTTCTCCTGGATCTACATTTTGACTCATTGCCTTTCACTATTTCCTGTTAGTATTGTTGTATATATTGGAGTGTAAATGAATGAATGTGGCCACCTTATTGTAATTTTCTTAATCTTTGTTTTACTAAACTATTTATATTTATGTTAAGCATTAAAACTTCACTAGAAGCATCTGTTTCCTATGTTGGATATGATTACATATTGTTCATCTACATTTTTTTCATGTCTACTAACCAGTAACCTCTTACAAACTGGTGATTTTACCAGCTGCCTTTTGCTCACCACAACTAGGTCGTTGAGTTACAGGAACCCTGAAAAAATTTTATACTGTATATGTTACAAATATGATTGAATCCATTTAGAGGTGTAAGTACTTCTCTTTGTAATTCCCCAGAAAAAGCCCAGGTTATATTTTCATAGATATAGTAAGTAGATAAACTGAAACAAAATTATGTAGTTCAAATTATATATATATATTTATTTATTTACATAAAATTAAGCATATACACACATATTTAATGCAAATGTATACATAGTTATTTAAACATCAGATCTTCATATGTTTATTTCTGTAGCTTTCATATATATTATATGTAAAATTTGTATTTATTTGCATTTACATTTTATATATTTCTATATGCATATATGTACAGACATATACATATATAGGTATTTGAAATGCAGAACTTTATTTCAGTATTCTACCCCTTACATTTATGAAAATGCAATAGACCTGTATGTCTAAATATATTAAATGTCAAAAAAAAGAAGAGATTATGGCACAATATTGCAGTTAGTTATGACTATGTTTGCAACTTAGTTTTTCTGCAAAGAAATCATTATTCCTGTAGGAAAAGACTTTCTTTTGACATCTTAATTCACTTACATAATGAGAAGGTAAGACCAAAAATTTACTACTGTATGTTATATTTCAACAAGTGTGAATATAAGAAATTATTTTACACAATCCATGATTTAATTCAAATGATTAAATACACTTAATTTATTTAAAAATCCTTTGAAGTAAAAAATAATTATGTGACTTAAGTTTTAACTATATTAGAATTTTAGATTAATGGCTACTAGGAACTCACTTTCTACTTTGATTATTGAAAATCATATTTCCAATCACACACACATACAAACTCTTTTAGGGAAATAAAGCATTCTAATAAACATTCTACCCAGAGCATTCTTAATTTCCTTATTTCATAGACTAAAGATAAGAGGGTTTGCAAAGTGGCGCACCATACAATTGAACATGGCTGTAAGAAGGTTTTCAATGGTTGATACATGTGAAATGGGGCTCAAGTAAGCAAACAATGCAGACATTACAAATAGGATGAAAGTAGCTATCTGGGGGGAGCAGGTTGACAGGGCTTTATTCTGGGCTTCCGCAGAATGCATCTGGAGCACAGCTGAAAATATGTGAATATATGAGCTGAATAAGATGACAGAGCAGAGTAAAACAATGCAAGCACTTACAGCAAGAGTCACACACTCAGGACACTGCACCTCGTGGGATGAGATGCTCAGGACTTGAGGGACATCACAGAAAAACTGGTGAATCACATTGGACACCGTGAACGGAGGCCTGAATATGGTCCCTGTGTGGACAGCAGAGCTGACCAGCCCACCTGCCCATGAGACACCTGCCACCTGTGTGCACAGACGTGGGGTCATGGTGAGCCCATAGTGCAGAGGATGGCAAATGGCAACAAAGCGGTCATAGGACATCACCACAAGGAAGAAGATCTCTGTGGACCCAAAGGAAATAATCAGGACAGTCTGAGCAGCACATGCTTTGACAGAAATCAGTTTACTACCTATTAGAGAATTCATGATCGATTTGGGAATGATAACTGAGATGAAACCAAAATCTATGAGAGATAAATTACCTATAAAGAAGTACATAGGTAAGTGAAGACTTGAGTCCATCACAATGATAATAATGGTCAGAAGATTTCCAGCCAAGGCACTCAGATAAATTACTAAGAACATGAGACCTTGCAAGATTTCAAGTTCCCCAGAACTGGAGATATCCATGAGAACAAATTCTGTGAAGATGATGAGATTGTCCATGTCTGCTAACATGCTCTGTAACCTTGAGTCTGAAGATGATGTAATAGGATGATGCTACACTCAAAATAGAGAACAAAATTATTGTCATATATTGTAAAATATTTTTTATGAATTGATTACTGACTTTAAGGTTGCATGCCTTATAATCACCAAGCAATGTGCAATACATATTAGTCAAATTAATGAAATCAATAAAACAAAATACAGGAAAATATAAAAATGCTATAACTGCAAACTGGACATCTAAGAAATTTATAAAATGGAATCTAAAAACTAAACTACAGTTCCACAAAGACCTGAACACGATGAAAAAACAGATATACCTGAGAGCTTAGACATAAGGTCTGTCTTCCCACACACCAGCATCTCTTACAGAATCACTAAAGTGCAATATCATTAACCTTTATTTTATTTGATGACTCATAATCCTGAGAGCCCTTTCTCAGAGTGTATCATTACACTAAATCACATGTGGAAGTGTGTACTGTTTCTCCATTTTGGACTGTAATTTCTTTCTGGAGGGCACTGTGGTACTTATACATCTTACAGCCCTCAGAGGAACTAATAATTGTAGACTCCTGAAAAGCTGAGACCTTCAACACCTTGTTTCCCGTAGATATTTTGGCCAATCCAGTGAGATTAATTAGATTCATAATAGATTTTTTATGAGATAACTTTGACTAGAGGTTTTTATACTACCTGAGAAAACATAAGTTCTCTAAAATTGGGTCTGGGTCAGTGTTGGTTTAATAACACTTCAAAGTTAATGCCTCATGTTAGTAAGAATCATATACTTGGAGAGAAAATTAAAACTATAACATAATGTTTTATTTGTACATATATGCATATATAAATATTATAACATACTGAATTTAAAGTAGTATAAATACAATTATCAGTTTTGAAAAATAAATTTCTAAAAATGTCTGAAAATATGAAATAAAAAAAGATCTACTCACCCAGCTCTCACATCTACAAGTAAGTGTTTGAAACAGCCTCAATGTCACCAATATTAATATTAAATAAACTATGATAAGTTTGAAGATCACAAGACACAGAATACAACAGGAAAATGTCCATGAAAACAAAACGTAAGATCCTAACCTAAAGCCTAGAATTACTCTCTGCTCCATTACGGCTTTTGAAGGATAGTAAAGAAAGAATCCTGACTGATTTTGAGATGATATCAATATTTGAGTAGAAAGACTTTGGGGTAAGTCCAGAGTGGGGAAAAAAGTAAATGTCCTACATTTTATTGTCACGATCCCAAAGTGGTATTCTATCTCTCCAGTGAGGAGAGATGCCATGAAGAGGGAAGGCACTACTTCAAAATTGTAATGAATTTTAAGAAACAGCAAAAAAGTAGATTAGTCTGAGAAGTAAAGATAACATGGATAAAGACTAAGCTAAAATAATTGTCACTGTTTAAAGCTTAATAAGTTAGCTGAATTAATAAAATTAGATCTCCAAATCTTCAATGCCCTGATAGTTTTGTGTTGGGAGTAAGGATGAGGGCTTTGAAAACTTCATTTATTTAGTTTTGTTACATTTTATGTATTTCAACAGTTTCATATTGGTATAATTGATACACAAAAACTGTGCATATTTAGCATATTCAGTTGACATGTTTGGACATATGCAAATAGCTATTATACCATCATAATGGCTAAGGTAATGGGTACAGCCAACATCTCCCAGAGTTTCCTTATGCTCTTATGTGTGTTTGTGCAGGAGCGTGTGTGTGGGAGGAACATTACCTGAGTTCTACTCATTTAGTACATTTTGAAGTGCAGAATACTCTGTGGGCTTTGTCCTGCATAGTCAGCGGTGGCAGAAAGAACTACTCAAGATAGGAAAGTCAGGAGAAGTGAGAGGGAGGCTAAGGGACGTCTCCCCGAACAGCTCTCAAGCTCTCATATTTATCAAGCCTACATTTACCAAAGCAATGTATGGTATGTTAGGAGGCTACGTGCCAAACAGGATGCTGCAGGGAACGTGCAGGCAGTCAAGCACAGCCATTTCCATGACTTCAAAGGAAAGTAAAATCCTATGCACCAGTGAATAGGTAAGCGAAGCATATTGTGCTGTTTCTAACATGAGAAGGAAGCAGTGTTCTGCTTTGCCAGGTGGCCCTGCACCTTTCCAATCCAGGACATAGCCATGTGGTTCCCCACATATCCCCATTTTTGGTTTTAATATCCTTCAGTCTTCTCAGAAAATAGCAACATAACCAGCTCTTGCTCATGATGGTTAGAGTCAGTCATAAGAATACAAATCATTCATAAGGCTATGAGAAAAATGAAAAAGATTAACAGACCAAGAGCTACAATGACCCAGTACATAAATTAATGCTATGGAATCATTTTGTTGGTAACAATTTAATGATATTGGATAAATCTTGTTCAACCTGTATTTGTGTTTCTGGTTAGATGTCAGTAATTGTTGATGTAATTGAGTAGAGAGAGCATTAATTCCCATCTGAAGATTAGAGGAAAAGGCTCCTAGCAAGTGTCGATTTACAAGGTCCCATGAGTGCTGAGATTGGTCATATGGCAATGGGGTGACACAGATTTTGTCATGCTGTCAATCACATTGCATGTGTTTTTGATCAATAGAGCCTGTTTTCACTCCACAACCCACTCAAGAGCAGCCTCCACAGCCTGTAGCCTCTGCATAATGACCTTATCAATTTGTGTTTGTGTTATCATTGCTCAAGTGATGTTAGTTATAACATGGTTAACTACCTGTAGGTAAAATTGCAATATTTCCAGAACCTCTCACCTGGCCTTCTCCACATCAATAGGTAAATACAAGGGGAACAGAGAATATCTGACTGGAGAGGTTTGGTGGGGTCCTTTTTGCAGCCAGGTTGTGAGAGACATGGGTAAACAGAAGTGAACAACTGTGTGTAATCAGTAAAGAGGTTTCTCCCATTCCATTTCTCCCTTTGGCTGATTTAAGTTCAAAGCTATTTTGCCACAGGCTGGGAAAATATTTCACTCTGGAGTTACACTATCTTAGTCGTGTGAATAGATTTGGTAAGAGACACTGCTGCTACATAGTCAGTAGCTAAAATAATGACTGCAGACATGAGGAAGACAATGCACTGTCCCGTAAATCTCTTGGGTCTCCATTTATACATGGCTGGAGTTAACTTAGCAAGACCATTAGACCCTTCCCATGGTTGTGTTAAATTTACCATCAACCAAACTTTAGACTTTTTAATGTAACAACGTGTGAAATATTGAAATTAGTCAATTCATAATGACTAATGAAGGACAATTATAAAGCCATGGAAATCACAGTAAAAATATAATATGTGTTTGCAAATATCATAGCTAACTTGTTGCTTGGAATTAGGAAGATATAAGGATGAGGAGTCCTCAATAGCATGCTATTAGAGATACTATGGGTGAAAGACATGGGAGTGCAAGTCCAAGGGGACAGTTCTGGGGCAAAATATCTCTGAAACCAAAATTAGTCAAAGGGAGAAATTAAGGTAAGAGACCTGTTTATTTCTTGCAAGCAGTCATCCCATCTCTCTTTTGACCAGGCTGCAGCAGAAAAAAGATCACCAAACCTTCCCAGTCCAAATAAACCCTCTCACACCCTTGTAATTACCTATTGATAGGAAGATGTACTACTAATCTCCACCCCTTGGAAACACCTATTGATATGCAGATGCATTAAAACCAGATCAGAGATTCTGGAAATATTACAATTTTATGCACAGCCCACCACTCCATAAATCTCAACTCACAATGTACACATTCCCTATTTTCTGAAATGGACCTGTTGAAGAAAACTGTTGCATTGCAAGGAGGCTATGAACATAAAATAACAAAGGCAATAAAATCATGATAATCCTCAAGTTGGAGGCTTCAGCTAGGTTCAAAATCCTAGGTAGAGAAGGTCCAAAGCTCACCTACTCCACAGGCAATAAGAAGCTGAACAGGTAATTCAGAGCAATAATCATGCCACACCTGCAGCCAAGGGACACATCCAGGCGTTAAGGACTATATAAGGGAATAACCTTAAAGGTGACAAGATTCATGTATTAAATGACACCAGCATAGGCAACTCTTGTCCTTCAGGTAGGATGAATGAAAGGGAGAGGTCCTATGATAGGACAGTGGCAGGAATAGGATCTCATCCTGGCCTAGTATACCAGACTTTCACCCCTCTCCCTGTGGTAGTTACAGATGGGTCATTATGTAGGGCTGTGGGAGGTACATGCACTGGCCATAAAGATAAAACAAAATTTCCAACAAGATGCTTTTACCTACCAGATGTATTTGGTACACTACTGTGATCTTTGGGGGCCACTCTGCTGTTCCTCAAGGAATACACATGAGGCCAGCTTCCAGGCATTTTTCCCTGAGGTGCCAAAAGGGCCAGCCATCTCTTGTCCATGTGACAAAATGTCCAGAGCCATGTCTATTCAACAGAGTCTCCATGGCTTACTGCAGTAGGGGCTGACAGCAGGATGTTACTCTGTTGGCCATGTCCTGGCTTCAATAACTCCTCTTTGGTTAGCACATGCAAGTGTATAGGAGATGCAGCAATGTGTGTTAGCATATCCACAGGTCTCAATGATCCTTCTCAGGGTGTCTCATTCAAACACCATAGCACTGTCCATAATTGAACTGACCAGCCCAATAAATTTTTGGTATCTGATTTCACACCAAATTTCAATAAAACATTGTACCTCTCTGTCATGCTTTCACCAGGAGGGTTATATGGTACATGAAACTTCCACTTATTCCTAATCACTGCACCCATCCTTGTAACGCATATGCAATTGAGTGGGTGTTTGATCAGTCAATGTCCTGTGGCCAGCCATAGGCTGCAAAGAGATGATCTTGACCCCTCTTGAGGGTTTTCTGATTTGCATCACATCAAGAAAACCAACCAATACGCCAGTAGCTGTATCCACACAAATCATGGCATACTTTCTGTTATGGGCAGAGGCCCAATATAGTCTATCTGCAACCAGGCAA